CTTCTTCTTCTTCTTCTTCTTCCTCGAAGCATTTTCACGCGCCATACGTCAGACCTGTTTGACAAAAGCTAACGCCCTATATTTTTGTCCTGCTGCATTAATACAGTTATTTCGGTGATTGTGCGGCTTTTCTACGGGAGACAAATGGTTTTTAAACAGAGGAATGATACACCTGCATTCTCATCAATAATGATCTTGCAACCGATGAGATATTACTTATTACGTGACAAGAAAAATTTCGGTAAAAAGTCGTTTATATAAAAACATGATATAAATAGATAGAATTATATATAGATAAAATATATAGGTGTTTTCTTTCTCTTGCATATTCTCTGTTTGTATGTAGTTATGTACAGAAGGGAAAATAATAGAAAGAAATAATTAAAAAGATAATTTTTATTTTTTTTTTATAAAAATTAAAAGTTGAGGAAACTAGAAAAATTGTCCGTGTGTAATCATATATAAATTTAATAATCGTATATAAAATAATTATATATGTTTATACAATATAGAATATTGTATAATCTAATCACGATTTTACTTTTTGTAAAAAAATAATGCAGTTATTTTTCCAATTATTTTTTAATTATTTTTTCTATATATATGGACAAAGATTATATAAGAGAGAGAAAATATATTTTTTAAATATAATTTCTATATCTATATTTTATATATTTTTATATATAAAAATTTTTTACCGAAATGGGATTTTATCTATGCGATAAATACTTCACAAATTTTCCGAATAATGAATTCTATTATAATTTAATTGCACATGTAGTATATACTTTTCTTTATGTGATTAACGCAATTATCAAAAAATATCTCATATCTTATTATTTCAGATAATTTGAAGTATCCGAGATGTTGCAATTAAATCAATTAAATTAAGCTTCTTTAGAATAAATTTCTTCAGAATTTTATACGAGATAAAATCTATAACAGTTTCAGAGTTACATGGTACATGAAAAATTTAATTTTTTTATAGGAGAGGGTGTCGTCTGAAATCATATATCGGAAGAAGGGTAAGTTGTTCCGCAGGGTGGTTTACACCCGTCGAACGTTGCGGATTGTCACTCGCGTTTGGCAGCCGAGCGACATAAAGTCGGCATGCGTGCAGATGGCGGCCGTAAGAGGTTGGTCTAAAAAAATAAAGCGGCGCGGGCACGAAGAGCGGAGATGTTTGTGTTTCCACGCGAGATGGGTGATTCTTAAATGACGAGGAACAACTGGGACAACTTATATACATATCTCGGAACAATATGCTACGCGGAATCGGAAAGCGGCGGAAAGTGCCTTTTTTACGGGAAGTCTATGAAAGATAAATTCCCGAAGGGTACGTCCGATATGCGATATCGTACATTTGTGATAATGTGCTTGGGAAAATTTGGATAAAGAGTTGACTTAATGACTAAAAATGTTTTATTATTTGCTATATAAAGCAAAAAAAAATTTTTTTTATTACACAAAATTAATAATTAAAGCATTTTAGATTAGAATTATTATCTAAGATAATTTGTTCACACTTTGTTCATCTTCTCGTATGGTTTTTGTCTAATTTCAGTCTGTTTCATAATTTTCTTCTCAATACAGCGTTATTCTGCAAACATATATAATGAGTATATATTTTTTCGTATATTTAACGAATAATTAAGAAGTCACGCTATAGATTTCCACATGAGACCAAAAATAGCGCTTTACATGTAAGAGCCGATAGCCATAATGATAAAAATCTTTCGATAAATATATGCAATACGTATAGATATATTATAATGTATATTGTAATTTTTCACTTTTATAAAAAATTTTGATTGAACTGAACGCGACAAAAACATTACATTTTTTGGTTTTAAAATTCTTATCATGTTTTTTTTTGAGAATAGTATTTAATTTATACAAATTAAATTTTTAATAAAAATCTTTTTGCGTAAATAAATATGTACTTATATACTTATTTATACACATAGGGAGCTTTCCAGTAAGTCGACTGCACAAACGTCGATCTATCTTTTTTTTTTGGCAACGAGTACTTAACAAAAACAAAACGACACTTGTGTCGCTTGCTGGAAAGCTCCCATAATAAATATATATGTCCACTGAATGAATAATCTTTACAAATTATTTATATAATTTATTGAATTAAAGTATATAATAATAAAAATTCATTTTTTGTTCATTTTACTTTTAGTTCTGAGTCTATGCAGTAATGCAAAAGAACATAGCGACAATGCGCTCTGTGCAGCCATGCAATTGGTCAATTTTTCTAGGTTGCAGTCCCCGCGACATTCATGTAAACGGGTCTCAGGCAGTGGAGCGCGATAGACGATAGACGTAGCGTTTCGGAACGCGCCGTCCTCGTCTTCGTGACGATCGCCGACGTCTCACTTCGCGCTCTTTTGGGAACGCGCTGGGAAAAACGTCCGTCGTGGTCCGCGGTCTGTTCCGTTCCTCGCTCGGCCTCGGCCTGCTCGCTCCGTTGCAGCTTGATCCCGATCGTGGGAAAAAAAGAAAGGGAATAGCCGAGAAGGTAGCGCGCCGAGTCACGGTCACGGGAGATCCAAGACGGTGCGCCGCGTTAAAACGCAACGACGGCACGTGTTAACGCGATCGAACGTTTTATGCATGATACTGCACATTGACGTATGTATCTATCTACGTACATACATACACCGCACCGAGTGAGAAGTGAGAACCCGTTCGGCGCGGAATGCAGCTGTCGTAGGCTGGAATAGGTCGCAGGGATCGCAGGTATATCGTAGCGAGAGACGAGGCACATCACCGGAGGTACGGGAGCTCGGGAGTTCGCGCGACTACGCGAACGTTAACATTCACGTGGACAACGTAAACGTAGACGGGGGCACGGGAGCCGCGTGCCGGCGCACATTGATCCCTACGCGAGCACGAGAATTGGTTATCGAAAAAATGGCGGCCGAGGCAATGCTAAATAAGAACCGAATGATGGTGTTTAAGAACAAAGGCAAGGACCAGGAGGTGAGTGTATCGTCGTCGCCACCCGTCCGGGTGACAATGGAGTTTCTCGCGCGATCGAAATTATCGCGTGGGAGAGCCGAGACGCTCCCACGTTCGGCCGCCCTGCTCGATGCCATTTTTCCCCCCTCGCGACTCTCGCGCGTGGAGTTCGTTCGTGTGCAAGCCTCTGTGCTCCGCTTTCCTCCCGATTTCTCCCTGTCCCTTTTCCTTCCGTATATTTCTCTCCTCCTCTTATCTCCCCTTATCCCTCTCACGTCCGTTCTTTCTTTTGCGTTCTCCATACTTCTCTCCCATTGCTGTTTTGTCCCTTCACTTTCCATCCTTTTCCTTCCCTTTTACTTTTTTTTCCCCCCTTTAATCTATCGTCTCTTGTCTCCTCTCTTGTTCTACTTGTTGCTTCTTTTATAATTTATTGGGTTGCTGGCCGTTTCATAATTATGTTGAAATTACTGTACCAATTTGCGTAATCGTTATGTATCGTACTAATTTTGCAATATCATTTTTATTAAGATTTTACCGGGTTATGTACCTTTATATTCTCAGCATTTGCTTATCTAGAGGTCAATATGCAGCTATATAAGTTTCTGTATATATTTATATTGAATCACGGCTACGGTCAACGTGATGCTACAAATGCTTCAAAGCATTCCTCTTCTCTTTTCTTTCAATGAAGAAAGAAGGAGAAGAAGAACGCTCCAAAGCATTTGTAGCGTCACGTTGACCGTAGCTCACGTGTAAGAATATTTTGACTGTAAATATTTTTACCATATGCTGTAAGTACGCAAAGCACACAATTAATGAATTATTTATCATATCGATTCTAATTAAAGTACATTTGGTTTTTTTATTTGCCTTAATTAATGAAATTTTATAACAGTTTTGTACTTAAATATATATTATTATGGATGATATGATTACAATTTCAGAATAAAATGTTTAATTTGAA